AATTAAAAATCTTTATAATTCGAAGTTATCGATATTTCTCAACTTTATTTCAAGATTCGAAATAATTTCAAATTATTCTTATTACCTAAATACGCGCGCAGGCATGTATCTATATCTGATGTATTTTTATAGGTCTACGGTAAGTTTCTCAAGTATAGGATGCCCATAAAAGGCTATAATACTACTACATTACTATTACTAATACTCCAAAACTTATGTTACATCGTGGTACATATATGTAAACTCCGCGTAAACCGCGCGGAAGACGGACGCCTCGTATGTGACCCAAGGCCCACGAACACCATCGTAAGCGAACGCCATCTATCTACACAAAAGATATACAAGGGCACAAGAATGCCTATACTACTATGAAGTTGGTAAACTTCTATAATTACACAAAACATATACGAGGGCACAAGAATTCCGATACTAATTACTATGAAGTTGGTAAACTTCTACAATTACACAAAAGATATACAAGGGCACAATAATTTCGATACTACTATGAAGTTGGTGAACTTCTACAATGTAACAACCGTGGTGTAGGATCCGAGTATGGGAGCGGCGAAAAGAAACGGAAGAGACTTGCAGTGACTTCACTGAGGGTTTAGGGTTTAGGGTTGAGGGTTGAGGGTTTGGGCAAAAGTGCGGTCAATAAAATACCATCTACATAAGTACACATACGACATACCGCTTCAAGACTTGTGTCTTCCACTCAACACAAGCAATTATAGTTTAGGGTTTAGGGTTTAGGGTTTAGGGTTTAGGGATATTGTAGTCCTTAGATATTGTTAGATGGAAAATCAGATAGAATAAATCATCATAATTAAGGGGTTTGAAAAGCGAACTGCTGGCCGCGGAAGGCCGCTCTTGCCGGAGTCGGCCCGCTGTGGTGCTCCTGTTGCAGAAAGCAGTTTAGGGTTTAGGGTTTAGGGTTTAGGGTTTTAGGGCTTACTCCGCACGCACCCAGCATCTGATTTGGGGTGATTGCTAAACTGCTAAACCTGGTCACACAGTCTGCGCCACGTTGCGGAGTTTTTGTTGCCTTGTGCGCTTGTGCCAGCTGCCGCTCAGGGGTGCGCAGATATATGCTGTGCCACACTACACATTCCACTTCTGAGTCTAAGACAATGGCTACTACACTAAATTCAAATATTCCGATGCCCAGGGAAGAACACGGTGTCCCAACAGACCCGTGAAAGGAAAACCACCCGGGAAAATACCGGGCCGAAGGCTACAAGCCAACTACTTCAGCCTTCAGCAGGTCAACAGCTAACTGAGGAGCATCTTACAGCTTTCGGATCCTCATGTACGCCTGCACGTAGTCCCTGCGAAAATCCTGAGGATTCTTCATGATGCCCTCGTTTATGGCGCTGTAGAGCTTTTCGACGATGGTGTCTGCCTGATGGCTGACGGCAGCAAGCTTGGAGCTCCAACTGTTGTAGCTCCACGCTCTCACACTGCGAACATAGGAGTCCGCAAATCTTTCGGGGTCGTTTTGCCAATAAGGACACGGGAGAACATGTGTCGAGAAACTCTCCAGCACAAGCCCCTCGAATGCTCCTCCTTGGAACGGAGCCTCGAACTCTTCGCGCGACCGCAGGAAGACTGGTGTCACAAAGGCATCAGCCTCTTTCTGCGAGATCTCACCACGACGCAGAAGGGTTTGCAGAGTCTCCATAATCACGTCGGCGAGCTGTTGATACGTGTGACTTGGGCGTGATTCAGCATCAAAGACGGGAACCACCAGATGCAAAGAACCACCCGAGACAAGCTCCTTACTACGAGATCTCAGATTGCTCACCCAGTCCCTGGCTGCCAGGTTCTCCCACTCCAGTCGCATTGGATTGTTCCGCTCCAGCTTGCGAAAATAGAGATCGCCCCCATATAAGAAGCCAGAACCCATGGGCGCATGGGAAACCCAATGCATTGCAGTACCTGAAAATCCGAGGTCGATGGAGTTCGATGGGACCACTTGCTCGTAGAAGCTGCGTCCGCACATGAACATGCGTACGGAGTGGTTTCCGGCCTCGGCATCATCCACGAAGGGCTGTAGGAGAGCCGGGGAATGGAAGCTGGGTTTGTCAGCTGGTTCAACGTGCCCAAAAGATTGCAGCAGCAACTTGACTGAATCCCAATCATTCTGAGGGAGGTCAGTGAAAAAGAAATCTGTCGGAGTTCTCTCGCCTGCTGCGATCACTGCAGAGACGATTGGCAACGAGCTCTTGCCTTGCGAGCAACCGTAGTCGGCAACTCGAAGTCTGGCCATCTCACTGGCCTCACTCTTCCAATTTTTCATGTCCTCCAAGATTTAGGGTTTAGGGTTTAGGGTTTAGGTTTAGGGTTTAGGGTTTAGGGTTTAGGGCCTCACTCTTCCAATTTTTCATGTCCTCCAAGAGACCATCCAAAACCAGCAGCAGCGACTCCGCCTGGCTCTGAGATGCCTTGTTGTACTCGCCATCCCCGAACATCACCGAACCATGTGAATCTGGGACACACGTCCGCTCCGAAGAGGTGGTTTCGTGCGAATCTTCAGATTCGCTGCTGGCGCTTTGCCTGCATTCCTTCGTCGATGTTCCCATCGAACCAGTCGACAAGATCATGATGATACTGCAACAGACCGCACATCGGATCGCTGGACGAGCCCCCATACCAGTAAACCACAGGACCGCCGGTGCAAGCACAACTTGCGAACACATAAACATGAACTTGAACCAAATGACAGCCGGAAGGAGTAGTCAAAGCCCGTCTGCAGCTCTTGCAGCCGGCAGTCTTGCTCACATTGACAAAATGCCGTCATTGAAATCAAGGCACACTGAGGAGAAGCTCTCACAGCACATCCCCATGACAACCACACCACCAGGCGTCGCAGCTCCCAACCCTAAACCCTAAACCCTAAACCCTAAACCCTAAACCCTAATCCCTATCCCGAAAGCCTGTTGTTGGAGTCCTCAGCTTTCGCCGGGCCGCACGGCAGGAGCACGTGGTGCTCAGCGCTCGCCCTCGATCAAGCGAGAATCCCACTGGATTTAGGGTTTAGGGTTTAGGGTTTGCCCATTTGGGGCTTACCTTATAAAATTCTAAATAGGAACCCCAGAAAGGAACTACGATGGGGCCTATGAAGGTTTTAGGGTTTAGGGTTTAGAGCAAGAGTCCCTCCACTAGATTAAAGGGAACTACAGGTGGAGAGTTTAGGGTATATAAGGCTTCTTTTGGGGCTTCTATAAGGTATAGAGACCTTCTATAAGGCTCCTGTAAGGGTAACCACCCACCTGCGAGTGTCCTAGACTAGATGCTGGAATGTGTTGTGGTTGCCTGCTTATGGAAAGACCTGGTCGCGTGGTCTCGGAATTCTGGTGCCCAGTTTGGGTTTAGGATCTATAGGGTTTTAGGGTTTAGGGTTTGAGGGTTTAGGGTTTAAGACCAAACCACTGAGACAGCCCAACTGCTGTTTCTAACTGCCCTACGCAGGGCCCGCTGTCCGAATCTGCGAATCTACGACCCCTAAACCCTAAACCTTAAACCCTTAAGGCCTGATCTAGCCTGATCATGCTGCTCGTCATGGCTCCAGTGGTGTGAAGCGCTGAGGCCAGGGCGCATGTTTGCCGAAGGGGCCGGCTCGTAAGAAGCCCCTCAAGGACAACGTGTCGACATAATATAGGGGCCTAAAGAATTACCAATACTATTTTGGTCGTTCCTCATCATAAATGTAGTAGTATGGGCCCCAAAACGCTGTTCTAATTATTAAGGACCCTACATTACGGGAACCCGCGGAGCCAGGTAGCTGCACACATCACCTACACATCGCTGACACCTCGTCACCTCGCGCACCTGTGCAACGCACAAGAAAGATTCATGTAACCGTTGAAACCCTAAACCCTAAACCCTAAACCCTAAACCCTGAACCTTAATCTAGTTGGTATAGGATTTCTGGACGAGATGGGCAGTGAGAAGGGAAGAAATGCCTTGGAGCGGCCGGCCCTCCCCAGTTCTGCCTGCTCCCACTTGCGCCCTTTATCCGGGTTTAGGGTTTAGGGTTTAGGGTTTAGGGTTTATCCTCGTTCTAAACCCTAAACCCTAAACCCTATCCTCGTTCTGCCTCCCACCACAAGAACCAAAAGGCCCTGCTTTGCAATTGCGAGTAGTTAAGGGTGTAGGGTATAGAGCTGAGGTTTGATAGTTCAAGTTTTAAAACTAAAATACCCAAACTGGGTGCATGTGTCGCCTAAAAAGGGAGAGAGATCACATGTTACAAGCCTCGCTGCTCCAATGATACTCCTGACCTCGAGCCACCGAAATCGGAGTTCTCCGTGCTTCCACCAGTCATGTCAGAGATGCGCAGAGAACTTGACTCTCAGACTGGATAGAACTCATGGACAGCGTGCTGCAAAACCGCAGGCGGCACCGGCACAGTGAGGGGACAAAGCTAAACCCTGCTGCTGATTTCTCGCGATGCGGACGTGTCTATGGTGTGGCAGGCCCAGGAATTGACAGTCTTCCAAAGTTCGCTCGCTTTGAGGACATACATCCGGGTGGAAAGATCAGCTAGGTTTGAGATGCCGTTTATGGCGCCTCACTTTTCAATCCCTGAGCCATCGTCGCCACCCCATGTAGAGTGATGTCTGAGCTGCATACAGCTTCTGCTGCTTGCTGCAAACGGCCGTACTCAAAGCCTCATCACAGCGCAAGCTAGCTGTAGCTGAATCCGTACGATATGAAGAAAACATTACCATTGCACTGGGCTGGGGCCGGGGCTGACTTGGGCAGCACGCTGTGAGAATGCCCATCAGCTTTAGTTAAGAGTACTAGTCTTCAGAGGCCCAAGGCACCAGAAAAGCCTGAAAGCAAATCTTGGTTGCGGGGTTTCGGTGGGCTATTCTCAGGCTTTTCCGAACTCAACCATGTTCCGCGGTCCATAATCCCTTTGACCGTCTCCTGTCTCAGCACAACCTTTGAGCTTTAGCTTCACCCATCTTCATCCTAAATGCGCTCTTTGGAGCTCACTGGCCATCACCTCCCACCTCCTCCGGAGTGCGCGTCACGAGAGACAGCGCATGAATTCGAGACCTGTTCACGAATCCGAGCGGTTGAGGGTTCAGAGTGTAAGGTGCACGTGAAGCATGAGCTGAACAAAACTAGGTAGTATTATTAGGGTACCCCTTAAAGGGTACCCCTTCTGAACCCTACTGTTGGTTCTCTTAAAAGGGACCTTATTGAGAGGGTCTATATCCCCAAGGGTCCCCCTAATCCTGGGTTACCAAAAACGCTGAAAAAGGGTAGGGAAGCCCTAAACCCTAAACCCTAAACCCTAAACCCTAAAGCCTAATCTCTCAGTCAGGGATGCAGAGGATCGCACCCTGCTGACGTGTCAAGACCAGGGGGAGTCTCAGAACTCATAAGATGCCCCATAAGATACCATAAGATACTAGAATATACTAGAATATACTGTCATATACTATAATGTACTATTATATACTATAACATACTATAATATACTGGAATATATTATCATATACTAGAACATACTATAATAAACTAACATAATATTATAGACCTGAACGGGAGGATCCCAAGTAATCAAGACCGACAGTGAGGGACCTCCAGCGACCAGAACCCCCCATGTGTCGAAGGCTATGCTGACGCCCCAAATCTGCGAGCCCCCGCTACGGACATTGAGGGCGTTTTAGGGTTTAGGGTTTAGGGGTTGAGGGTTTAGGGTCATGGCATCTCCTGGTAGTATCCATGCAACAGCCGTGCAGTCGGATCCCTAAAACCCTAGACCCCAAACCCTAAACCTTTAACCCTAAACCCCAGAACCCAATGAACCCTAAACCCTAAACCCTAAGCCCTAAACCCTAAGCCCCCAAACCCTAAACCTTTAACCCTAAACCACTGAACATCAAGGTGCGTCAAGTCGGGATATGAGTAGCCGGCATGACCCCGGAGAGGGACTCGTACACCTTCTGCTGTCTTTGTACCTCAGTGGGGCTGAAGCTACCATTAACCCTAAACCCTAAACCATTACCCCAAACCCTAAATCCTAAACCCTAAACCCTAAACCCTCAACCCTAAACCCTAAACCCCTAAACCCCTCAAAATGTGGCTCTAGCATTCTTGGAGAGAAGCTTTCTACCCTAAACCCTAAACCCTAAACCCTAAACCCTAAACCCTAAACCCTAAACCCAAAACCCTAAACCCTAGGGTTTGGGGCCTCAGAAGTTCAGGATCCTCCAGATCTGAGGCTTGGTCATGATGTGGGAGTTTCCGAAAATAGCCCGCTACAGTCCGCATGGCCGTTGCATAAAACTCAAACCCTAGGCCCTAAAAGCACATGGGAGTTTCCGAAAATT